GAAAAACCTACAACAACAGCCATGAAAACCTTCAACAATACAATATTATTGAATGCTACAAATGCTGAAACAATATAACATCAGGCATTATCTGTTGGCGAAATTACATTATGCTTACACAAAAGTGTGTAACATTTGTATCCAAATTAAGAATGTGTATCTGCACATCATTCTTTGTCCTTTAATACGCTATCCCCATGTGCCACAGTTCTGCAGGCATTCCCTACTCCGGTTCTGCTGCCATTAACTGGACATGATGTCTTGTACACAAAACTCCTTCCACAAGCTTAGCACAACTTAAGGAGGCAACACCAACACAGCAAGGATCCCTGTATTGTCGAAGGCTTTCATGGCCGGAATCACTGGGTTGTTGTGAGTTTTCTGTGCTGTACGGCTATGCTCCAGAAGCATTTTCTCCTGACATTTCACCTGCATCTATGGCTGTGAGGTGTGTTGGAAACTGGGAAAATGGGAGTTATATAATAATAATAATAATAATAATAATAATAATAATAATAATAATAATAATCTATATAAATAAAAATGTAATGTTCATTTGTGGGATGAATAGAACTTAAAACCACTGGACGAATTGACACCAAATTTGGACACAAGACACCTAACAACCCAATGTATGTTCACTAAAAAAAAAATGATTTTCTCATTTGGGAGTTGTAGTTGCTGGGATTTATAGTTCACCTACAATCAAAGAACATTCTGAACCCCATCAACGATGGAATTGAACCAAACTGGGCACACAGTTCTCCCATGACCAACCAACAGAAAATACTGGAAGGGTTTGGTGGGCAGTGTCCTTTGGTTTGGGAGTTGTAGCTCACCTACATCCAGAGATCACTGTGGACTCAAACAATGATGCATCTGGACCAAACTCTACAAGAATACTCAATATGCCCAAATGAGAACACTGGTGAAGTTTGGGGGAAATAGAATCTTGACATTTGGGAGTTGTAGTTGCTGGGATTTATGGTTCACCTACAATAACAGAGCATTTTGAACCCCACCAATGATAGGATTGGGCCAAACCTCCCACACAGAACCCCCATGTGGGCCACAGCAACGCGTGGCAGAGGATGGCTAGTAATAATAATAATAATAATAATAATAATAATAATAATAATAATAATAAATATTATTATTATTTGTTGGAAACTGGGAAAATGGGATTTATATAATAATAATATTAATAATAATAATAATAATAATAATAATAATAATAATAAATATGAAACAATGCATCACATCCTCAGCTGCTGCAAGAAGATCGCACAGACAGACTACAAGCAGAGGCACAACACCATTGCTCAGAAGATTCATTGGAACTTGTGCCACAAACACCATCTGCCTGCAACAAAGAACTGGTGGGCTCACAAGCCGGAAAAAGTTACAGAGAATGAACACGCCAAACTCCTCTGGAACCTCTGGATTCAGGACAGAGTTTTGGAGCACAATACTCCTGACCTCACAATGGGGGGGGGGGACAAAGTATGGATCATTGACGTCGCAATCCCAGGTGACAGCAGGATTGCAGAGAAACAACTGGAAAAGGTGACACGATATGAGGATTTAAAGATTGAACTGCAAAGACTCTGGCACAAGCCAGTCAAGGGGGTCCCAGTGGTGATTGGCACACTGGGTGCAGTGCCTAAAGACCTTGGCCTGCACTTAAACACAATCGGCGCTGAAAAAATTACCATCTGCCAGCTGCAAAAGGCCACCTTATTGGGATCTGGACGCATTATTCCCCGATACATCACACAGTCCTAGACACTTGGGAAGGCTCCAACATGTGATCCAATTCAACAGCCAGCAGAGTGTCTGCTGTGGACTCATCTTGTTGTGTTTCAAATAATAATAATAATAATAATAATAAGTCCTGCCAGCACAGGGGTTTAACCCACTGCGCCACCGGGGGCTCCGTAGGGCAAGCTAATCACCTCCCAACCAAGGATTCCCCTGGGCAGTAAGAAGCCAAACCTTGAAACTGCTAAGCCATTAAATGCCAATCAAGGTGGCCAATTGAAACATTCGCATCTACCTCAAACAGACAAGAGTTCTTTCCCCCACCCTGGACATCATTCCACAGGTATATAAACCCCATTTTCCTAGTTTCCAACAAATTTCACAACCTCTGAGGATGCCTGCCATAGATGCAGGCGAAATGTCAGGAGAGAATGCTTCTGGAACATGGCCATACAGTTCAGAAAACTCACAACAACCCAGTGATTTTGGGTTGTGAATGTTGTTGCTGGCCTCCTTGATTAGCACTCAAAAACAAGGGAATACCAGACAAGAAACCATCAGGACCAGCAAATCACCTCCCAACAAAGGATTCCCCCAAGCGGCAAGAAGCCAGACCTTGAAACTGCTAAGCCATTAAATGCCAATCAAAGTGGCCAATTGAAACATTCATAACTACCTCAAACAGACAAAAGTTCTTTCTCCCACCTTGGACATTATTCCAAAAAACCTCACAACCTCCGAGAGAAGCAGGCGAAACGTCAGGAGAGAATGCTTCTGGAACATGGCTAGACAGCCCGGAAAACACACAACAACCCAGTGATTTTGGGTTGTGAATGTTGTTGTTGGCACTAGAACAACACTCAAAAACAGGGGAATTCCAGACAAGAAACAATCAGGGCCAGCTAATCACCTCCCAACAAAGGATTCCCCAAAGCGGTAAGAAGCCAAACCTTGAAACTGCTAGGCCATTGAATGCCAATCAAGGTGGCCAATTGAAACATTCACAACTACCTCAAACAGACAAGAGTTCTTTCTCCCACCTTGGACATTATTCCAAGAAACCTCACAACCTCCGAGAGATGCAGGTGAAACGTCAGGAGAGAATGCTTCTGGAACATGGTGAGACAGCCTGGAAAACACACAACAACCCAGTGATTTGGGGTTGTGAATGTTGTTGTTGGCACTAGAACAACACTCAAAAACAGGGGAATTCCAGACAAGAAACCATCAGGGCCAGTTAATCACCTCCCAACAAAGGATTCCCCAAAGCAGTAAGAAGCCAGACCTTGAAACTGCTAGGCCATTGAATGCCAATCAAGATGGCCAATTGAACCATTTGAGCCCCCAGTGGCGCAGTGGGTTAAACCCCTGTGCCGGCAGGACTGAAGACTGAGAGGTCGCAGGTTCAAATCCGGGGAGAGGCGGATGAGCTCCCTCTATCAGCTCCAGCTCTTCATACGGGGACATGAGCGAAGCCTCCCACAAGGATGATAAAAACATCAAATCATCTGGGCGTCCCCTGGGCAATGTCCTTGCAGACGGCCAATTCTCTCACACCAGAAGCAACTTGCAGTTTCTCAAATCGCTCCTGACACGAAAAAAAAACCCTACCTCAAACAGACAAGAGTTCTTTCTCCCACCTTGGACATCATTCCACAGGTATATAAACCCCATTTTCCTAGTTTCCAACAGACTTCACAACCATAGATGCAGGCAAAATGTCAGGAGAGAATCATAGAATCAAAGAGTTGGAAGAGACCTCATGGGCCATCCAGTCCAACCCCATTCTGCCAAGAAGCTGGAATATTGCATTCAAATCACCCCTGACAGATGGCCATCCAGCCTCTGTTTAAAAGCTTCCAAAGAAGGAGCCTCCACCACACTCCGGGGCAGAGAGTTCCACTGCTGAACGGCTCTCACAGTAGGAAGTTCTTCCTCATGTTCAGATGGAATCTCCTCTCTTGTAGTTTGAAGCCATTGTTCCGCGTCCTAGTCTCCAGGGAAGCAGAAAACAAGCTTGCTCCCTCCTCCCTGTGGCTTCCTCTCACATATTTTTACATGGCTATCATATCTCCTCTCAGCCTTTTCTTCTTCAGGCTAAACATGCCCAGCTCCTTAAGCCGCTCCTCATAGTGCTTGTTCTCCAGACCTTTGATCATTTTAGTCGCCCTCCTCTGGACACATTCCAGCTTGTCAATATCTCTCTTGAATTGTGGTGCCCAGAATTGGACACAATATTCCAGATGTGGCCTAACCAAAGCAGAATAGAGGGGTAGCATTACTTCCCTAGATCTAGACACTAGGCTCCTATTGATGCAATATGCTCCAGAATGCTTCTGGAACATGACCATACAGCCCGGAGAAATCACAGCAACCCACTGTTCTATCCTTCTTTGCTTCCCATCTGCATGTTTTTGAAAATTCAGAATAATATGTATATTTTAGGAAGGGATTAAGGTTGGTTAAAAGAATGAAGGGAAACAGAACCTCATTCTGGGAGAAAGGCCGGATATAAATCCAACAGACACACTAAGGAAATACATAAAAATGGGCGCCGGTTTCCATCCCGGGCCAAAGAAGTCCGACCTTGGCTTGAGGAAGGACGCAAAGGATCCCGAAAGCTTGGCTCTCACACACAAATGCACAAAAAATAGAATACACACACACTCCCATCCTCCAAGGTCGAAGTGCCCAGGGCCTTGGCTTTCTCTCCTTTCTCCAAGGCATCTACATTGGAGAATGAATGCAGTTTAGTATCAGTTTAACCATGCTAAGGAATCTTGGGTGTTGTAGTTTGGCAAGACTCCAACAGAGAAGGCTCCAGACCTTCCCAAACTATACCTCCCTGGATTCTCTTAACCACTGAGCTGTGGCAGTTAACAGTAGTGTCAAAAACTGCATTGAGGACAAAGTCAAACCTTTCCAATTTGGATCTGTGTTTTCTTTTCTCAAAGATGGGGCCAACACTAGGGGGGGGGCTAACGTTGGCTAGAGAAGAGATTGAAGCCCCCCCAAGAGAAGGACTAAGGGTCCAAACCCTTTCCTTCCTTGGAAAGCAGAGCCTTCCTCCCTTCCTACCCAAAGCGCATTCCGTGCGCCCTGGCCTCCATTTGGAGAGGTCTTGGGGGGACCCAAAAGGGAAGGCTCTCCCTCGCCAGCCCGGCGACCCAGCCCCACAAATGACCCACCGATGGATAGCTAAGAGCCCCCTCTATCCCCCCACGTCGCCCTTTCCTCACCAGGTAGTTCATCTTCCCGGCCAGGCCGCGCGCAACGGAGGGGCGGCCGCAGTGACCGTGCGCCCTTAACGCATCGTCCCAGCCTCGGTTCTCCTCCTCCTCCTCCTCTCCTTCTCCGACGCCTAAACCCGGCGAGTGATGTAAGCCAAAGGAGGGGAAAAAGAGAGCAGAGAAAGCAGGAGAGTTGCTGGCTAGGACGCCTCTTCCATTGGCTGCTCGGGAGAAAAGGAGGAGGCGCCGGGAGGCAGCGATGGGACGGCGGGGAGAGGCTGCCTCCGCCTGGCACCCAGCAGGGATGGCGGGCCAAGGAGGAAGAGGAGGAGGGAGGGAGAAAGGAAAGGAGGAGGGCCAAGGGGAGGGCGCCTCTGCGCTGCCCCCGCCTCCAACTCCTCTCTGCCTGCCTCTCCAGCAAGGGAGAACGGGCAGGGATCCCCAAAGGTCGCTTAGTCTGACCCTTAGGGCAAGCAAGAGAGTATCCCTGCTAAGCATGCACAGAGTATGATTGTCATTATCATTCACAGGGATCTCCAAGGGGTATATCCAGTCTAATCCAGGAGCAGTGCAAGGAAGAGAGTTGGGTACTGTGTGTTGTAGCCCTGGGCATGCATTATATCATTGTTGTTGTTAACACGGATCTCCAATGGCTATCCTGTCTAATCCAGGCGCAGTGCAAGGCAGAGAGTTGTGTACTGTGTGTTGTAGTCCTGAGCATGCATTATATCATTGCTGCTGCTGTTGTTATCGTTGTTGTTGTCGTTGACAGGTATCTCCAAGGGCTATCTTGTCTAATCCAGGAGCAGTGCAAGGAAGAGAGTTGGGTACTGTGTGTTGTAGTCCTGAAAATGCAGATGGTATCATTGCTATTGTTGTTATTGTTCACAGGGATCTCCAAGGGCTATCCTGTCTAGTCCAGGAGCAGTGCAAGGAAGAGAGTTGGGTACTGTGTGTTGTAGTCCTGAAAATGCAGAGGGTATCATTGCTATTGTTGTTATTGTTCACAGGGATCTCCAAGGGCTATCCTGTCTAGTCCAGGCGCAGTACAAGGCAGAGAGTTGGGTACTGTGTGTTGTAGTCCTGAGCATGCATTATATCATTGCTGCTGCTGTTGTTGTCGTTGTTGTCATTGACCGGTATCCCCAAGGGCTATCTTGTCTAATCCAGGAGCAATGCAAGGAAGAGAGTTGGGTACTGTGTGTTGTAGTCCTGAAAATGCAGAGGGTATCATTGCTATTGTTGTTATTGTTCACAGGGATCTCCAAGGCCTATCCTGTCTAGTCCAGGCGCAGTGCAAGGCAGAGAGTTGGGTACTGTGTGTTGTAGTCCTGAGCATGCATTATATCATTGCTGCTGCTGTTGTTGTTGTTGTTGTTGTCGTTGACAGGTATCTCCAAGGGCTATCTTGTCTAATCCAGGAGCAGTGCAAGGCAGAGAGTTGGGTACTGTGTGTTGTAGTCCTGAGCATGCATTATATCATTGCTGCTGCTGTTGTTATCGTTGTTGTTGTCGTTGACAGGTATCTCCAAGGGCTATCTTGTCTAATCCAGGAGCAGTGCAAGGAAGAGAGTTGGGTACTGTGTGTTGTAGTCCTGAAAATGCAGAGGGTATCATTGCTATTGTTGTTATTGTTCACAGGGATCTCCAAGGGCTATCCTGTCTAGTCCAGGCGCAGTACAAGGCAGAGAGTTGGGTACTGTGTGTTGTAGTCCTGAGCATGCATTATATCATTGCTGCTGCTGTTGTTGTCGTTGTTGTCATTGACCGGTATCCCCAAGGGCTATATTGTCTAATCCAGGAGCAATGCAAGGAAAAGAGTTGGGTACTGTGTGCTGTAGTCCTGAGTATACATAGGGAATCATTGCTATTGTTGTTGTTGTTAACAGGGATCTCTAGGGGCTATCCTGTCTAATCAAGGAGCAGTGCAAGGCAGAGAGTTGGGTACTGTGTGTTGTAGTCCTGAACATGCATTATGTCATTGTTATTGTTGTAGTTGTTGTTGACAGGTATCTCCAATGGCTATCCAGTCTAATCCAGGAGCAGTGCAAGGAAGAGAGTTGGGTACTGTGTGTTGTAGTCCTGAACATGCATTATATCATTGCTGCTGCTGCTGTTGTTATTGTTATTTTTAACAGGATGTCCCAGATGGTTATGTGGTCTAATCCAGGAGCAATGCAAGGCAGAGAGTTGGGTACTGTGTATTGTAGTACTGAAAATGCAGAGGGTATCATTGCTATTGTTGCTATTGTTAACAGAGATCTCCAAGAGCTATCCCGTCTAATCCAGGAGCAGTGCAAGGAAAAGGGTTGGGTACTGTGTGTTGTAGTCCTGAAGATGCACAGTGTATCATTGCTATTGTTGTTTTTGTTCACCGGGGTCTCCAAGGGTCATCTAGTCTAGTCCAGGAGCAGTGCAAGGACGCCTCTATGCTGCCTCCCCCTCCAACTCCCCTCTGCCTGCCTCTCCAGTAAGGGAGAATGGGCAGGGATCCCCAAAGGTCGCCTAGTCTAACCCCCAGGGCAAGCAAGAGAGAATCACTCCTAAGCATGCACAAAGTATGTTTGTTATTATCATTCACAGGAATCTCCAAGGGGTATCCAACTAATCCAGGAGCAGTGCAAGGAAGAGAATTGGGTACTGTGTGTTGTAATCCTGAGCATGCATTATATCATTGCAACTGTTGTTGTTGTTTGTTGACAGGTATCTCCAATGGCTATCCAGTCTAATCCAGGAGCAGTGCAAGGCAGAGAGTTGGGTACTGTGTGTTGTAGTCCTGAACATGCATTATATCACTGTTATTGTTGTTGTTGTTGTTGTTGACAGGTATCTCCAATGGCTATCCTGTCTAATCAAGGGGCAGTGCAAGGAAGAGAGTTGGGTACTGTTTGTTGTAGTCCTGAGCATGCATTCTATCATTGCTATTGTTGCTGTTGTTGTACTCCTGAGAATACACAGAGTGCTGCTGCTATTGTTGTTGGTACTAGGAACACCCAAAGGTCACCTAGTCTAACCCACTGTCTCTAAAGCACTTTAAAACCATTTCAGATAAATGTTTTGATGCGATGGTTTCTTTAAATGTTTATTTACCAATGGTTCAATAAATAAACAAAAGTAATTGTTTATTTAACTGTTGCTTTGATTGTATTTTGTTTTATAGTCAGCACAGTTGAACACCTCTGGGTGTTTCCCACACGGGAAGCTTTAAATAGCCTTAGGGCTCTGTTCCCATGCAGCTTAAACCAGGTCTGGTGATGGTTGATCACTGCTGTGACAAGTCATTTCAGTAAGCAAGCTGCTCCTTCCCATTTATGCAGGAACCAGTAGCAAGGTTCCCAGCAACGCATGCATGCATCCACACTGCAGAATGAATGCAAGTTGATACCACTTTGAGTGCCCTGGCTCCATGGTCTGGAAATTTGGAAGTTGTTGTTTCACTTTGAAATCATGGAGGATTTTAAAAGGGTCTGGCCCTATAGGAGAGACCCTGCGGACCCATCAAAGAGGGCTCGCTACCAGAGGCGGCCCTAGGTAATTTTCAACGGTAAGCAAACAGTATTTTGCCCCGCCCCCCCAACCAATCATTGATATATATTTTCTGTTCGTCGTGGGAGTTCTGTGTGCCATATTTAGTTCAATTACATCATTGGTGGAGTTCAGAATGCTCTTTGATTGTAGGTGAACTATACATCCCAGTAACTACACTTGCCGCACTTGCTCCCTTGCCTGGCCCGCTTTGGGTCCGGAGGCGTGCCTGAAGACCCCGGCGTGTGCACCAAAAGTCACCTCTTCTCCTGACTTTCTCCTCAGCCATTGGGACCAAGAGAGAGAGAGAGAGAGAGGTGGAGATGCCCACCTTTCCTGAAGGTAGGCGCAAAAACAAAGGAGGGAGCGGAGGTGGGAGATACCTCCAGCCGGAGGGGCTCTCTCTCTCTCTCTTTCTCTCTCTCTCTCTTGGTCCCAATGGCTGAAGAGAAAGTCAGGAGAAGAGGCGACTTTTGGTGCGCACACTGGGGTCTTCAGACACGCCTCCGGACCCGAAGCGGGCCAGGCGCGGCGGTTCCGCCCCTTGGCCCACCCGTGGATTGGGGAGAGGAGAGGAGGCGGGTGGAGCGCCGGGGGATCGGGAAAGGGAGCCAGTCAGGGGGAAGGGATCTAACGCGGAGAACGATTGAGCGACAGCTCTGCTTGCGCACCCGGTGGCCAGGTGGAGCAGGAACGAGAGGGGCTAGGCGAGGCTCAAGGGCCCGGCCCCTTTGGGAAGAGGATCGCCCGGCAGCGAGGCAAGAAAGCCGAGGCTCCCCCCGGACTGCTAGGGCTGTTGTGAGCTGAGGGGGCGCTCCTCAAGTGGCGGTCGAGGGGCATTTACAGAGGCACCTCTGCGCCCCTGGGAAAAAAAAGTGTTCTGCAACCGCTTACTTCGCGTAATGGATGAGCCGCCCCTGGTGCCCACCAAACCCTTCCAGTATTTTCTGTTGGTCATGGGAGTTCTGTGTGCCAAGTTTGGTCCAATTCCATCATTGGTGGGGTTCAGAATGCTCTTTGATTGTAGGTGAACTATAAATCCCAGCAACTACAACTCCCAAATGACAAAATCAATTTTTTTTTAGTGAAGGACATACATTGAGTTGTTAGGTGTCTTGTGTCCAAATTTGGTGTCAATTTGTCCAGTGGTTTTTGAATTCTGTTAATACTACTAACGAACATTACATTTTTATGTATATAGATAGTTGGCATTTCTGTCTTTTTTTTCCCCATTGTTGAGCATATAGGATTCTTGCCGCTGTTAATATGTACTGCGGTTTTATCTCATGCTCCATTTTTATTTTGATAGTCGAACAATCCCCATAATCTAAGTTCCTGCTTGAAACTGATTCTTGAATTAAGCCTCTCGGATTTTTTAGCCTTTTTAGTATGGAAGGCGGTGGGAGACGTTGCCAAACGACCATAAGGCAAAACGTGCCTGGATGCCATGGATTGAAAGTGGGCGGAAGCTTTCACAAAAGTTGGCCAAGGGTTGGTGTTCCTTTCTCTGTTTGATCGCTCTCCACCTGAGGACAACCTTATCTGTGGGTGGTTCATGTACAAACACAGAGCCAACAGAAGGTAAATGGGTGCTGCGATGTTTTCAGAACGGTTATGGAGGAGAGGTGGCTCATAAATGAACTCACTCACAGCCTCAATGGAACAACGAGGATGTTTTCAGGATGAGCATTGAAACATTCGATCAGCTTAGATTATTTAGCTTAGATCCCTTGTTGTCCAAGTAAGATTGTCCTCCAAGATTGGTGTCCTGGTGGTGGGTACGTAGGTGA